CACACACACACACACACACACACACACACACACACACACACACACACACACACACACACACACACACACACACACACACACACACACACACACACACACACACACACACACACACACACACACACACACACACACACACACACACACACACACACACACACACACACACACACACACACACACACACACACTCGGGGGTGGACAGACCTCCTACCCTGACACGTCGATTCAGGAATTGGCCGTTTGCGGTTCGCGCGAGGGCGTCGCGGCCGTCATTTTTGCGGGTCCAGCTCCATCGGTTTCGGTCCCAGGCCGTTGTCACTAAGGGGAGGTCTACTAAAGGGAGGTTTGTCCACCGCCGACACACGCCCCCTGGGCAGAAGGAGGGGCTCCAGCGGCGCGCAGGAGGAGGGAGCTCCTCCTCCTCCTCCTCCGCCTCCTCCTCCTCCTCCTCCTCCTCCTCCTCCTCCTCCTCCTCCTCCTCCTCCTCCTCCTCCTCCTCTTGGGCGAGGAGGGCGGCCTCTCGACGAGGCAAGGTGCGTCCGAGGAGGGGGGTCGGCGGCCTCCGAGAGCCTCTTCGGGAGGCGGGGCGGCCTGTGCGAGGCCCTCCTGCCATCTGTTCTTAAGTCGGGCGTGCCCCTGCACGGGAGGGATATTCAAAAAATAGTCAAATAATATTCTGGGGACGATGCTTGTGTTACTATTTCTTGACTGTGTGGGGATATGCTTTTCCCGAAACAGCTTGCTGAACGGGGTGCTGTTGTGATAGATAGGTCCGGCCGAGGGAATTCAAAGCAGAGACGTCCTCAGAAAAAATTGGTGGTCCGGGCCGTTTCGCCTGAGACATCCTCGCAACTCTCGTTTCTGAGTTGTCTGGGATTGGGCGTTTCGCGTGAGACATTCTCCAAACTCTGAGTTCCCAGATGCCGCGCAAGAGGTGGTCCAGCCCATTTCGCCGGAGACATCCTCGAAACTCTGAGCTCCCAGATGCCGCGCGAGACGCGGTCTGGCCCGTTTCGCTTGAGACATCTTCCAAACTCTGAGCTCCCAGATGCCGCGCGAGAGGTGGTCCGGCCCGTATCGCCTGAGACATCCTCCAAACTCTGGGCTCTGAGATGCTGTGCGCGAGGTGGTCCGGCGCGTTTCGCCTGAGACATCCTCGCAGCCCTGAATTCTGAGATGTCGCGCAAGAGATGGTCCAGCCCATTTCGCCTGAGACATCCTCCAAACTCTGAGCCCTGATATGCCGTGCCCGAGGTGGTCCGGCCCGTTTTGCCTGAGACATCCTTGCAGCTCTGCGCTTTCTGATGCCGCGCGAGAGGTGGTCTGGCTTGTTTCGCTTGACATTTTCCGACTTGTCCTGCGAACGTGTAGGGGGTGAAGCACAGAGTCCGTTCTATTTAGCTCAAGCCTTCTACCTCCAGGGAACACCTGTGATTCTATGCGCCCTCCGCTCCCGCAGGCTCCTCTGTGGCTGATCGTCTGTGCCTAGTGTGCGCTGGACGCCTGGTGGCCAGGCCTTGTGCGCGGCGGCGGCGAAGGGGTTCCCCCTGGACAGCCGCCCTCGGCGGCACTGTAGGCCGCGGCGGCGGCGCGCGAGGTGGAGCGAGCGGCCGTCTACGCTCGCAACCCGTCGGGTTGCCTGGACGACCTCGCGCGGCTGCACGCGGAGGTGTCCCTGCTGTCCACGGAGCTCCGCGAGGTTCGTTCGCACCAGGCCCAGCAGGGCTCGGACGCGGGGTCGTTCTACGCGCACACCCTCGGGTTCGTGGTGACGGGCATCGTCGCGCAGATCGTAGGCGCGCGCGGGGTCTACCGCAGTCGACATGGCGTTGATGCCGCGCCTGCAGTTGTTCAGGGCCGAGGGGAACGCCGCCGAGGCGGCGGAGTTCTTCAACGAGCTGCTACCAGGCCGCGTCGTCACTTTCCACTACGACGACGATCGCGGCATCTGGCACGAGCGCGTGCTGATCTGGCCTGCTGGTTCGCAGCGGCCTGCGACGAGGTGGGCCATCCTCGTGCCCGATCGTGACATCTACGACCGGGAGTTAGCTAGCGCCGCTGACGGGGACGGCCCTGACAAGGCGTCGCTGACCTTCGGCGCCACCCCTGCTCGTCAGCGGCCCGCGGGCCGCGTCTACCGTTTCCGCGCCTACCCCTCGGAGCCCGAGCTGCTGGACATGGTGCGAGCTGCTCGGCGTGATGTGCGGGCCGCGGGGTTGGACGTCGCCGAGCCGTCGACGCACGTGCAGAAGGGCGAGGTGCTGGGGGGCTTCACCACGGTCAGCTTCGGTGAGGTGCCTGGCTTCTACCGGCGGCGGCCGCCGCCCCGCCGCCAGCTGGCCCGCCCTTGCCCGCGCCCGCCACGGCGCCGCTGGGGCTCGAGGACGACGCTGAGGACGAGCCGGCGGCTGTCGGTGGGCCCGCTACCCCGCCGCCGGGGGCCGTCGGCGCCCGCGTGCTGGTCAGCGCGGAGGCGCCGCCTCCAGGGATGACTTGGATTGCGGCCAAGTCGGCGGGGTCGAAAATCAAGCGCGGCGACGAGGTCCACCTGCTCGCGAGCGACGTCGTCTGGGGCGAGAGCGGGCTTCACGGTCTGCCGTCTGGCTTCATAGTGCCCATGGAGCTGGTTGCCTCTGCCTCTCCCATCTGGCCAGGTGGCGAAGAGGGCGACGACGCTCGTCTCCTGGGCCCATTCACCAGGAACCGCGAGGGACGACGCCACCTCGACTTCCGCGAGCCGGTGGCGCAGATGCGGCAGGAGGTGCTCGACGATTTCCCGCTGTCTGGAGAGCGGAGCTACAAGTGGCTCTGCGAGTGCATCGTCGACCACGGCGGGGCGCCCGAGGGCCGCCAGACCAAGTGGATGAGCGAGAGCGGCTGCACGGATGACTCGGCGGCGGCTCATTTCCACGACCTCTTCGGGCTCGCGATCGAGTTCGCGCGGACCTACGATCAGGCGGGCGGCTCGAACCTGGCCTGCATGGAGGCTGCTGCATGGACGTGCCAGCTTGTCGAGGAGACCATGGGCAGCATGAAGATCGAGGGGGTCGAGCACGCTGTCGGCCGCCTGAAGCAGAGCGCTCGCCGCGGGGGCGCGGCAGCGCCAGGCCTGGCCAAGCGCGCGACCGAGCAGCTCGCCAAGGGGGCCGAGATCCAGAAGCAGAGGAGGAGGGCGCGCGAAGAGAAGAGCGCTTCCTCAGGGAAGAAGGGACAGCGGTGAAATGGAGCCAGCGGGCTGGAGGTATAGCTCGACCCGTCCGCCGTTTCGCGAGAGCCAGTTTTGTCGGCCCGTTGATGGCCATCCCCCCGTCGATGGGACGCTGCCCTTTGCTGTGCCTGCCGCGCCAGTTGCTCGCCCACCTCCGCCTGGACTTCCCCGTTCGGTTCGGGCACGCCTTCAACGCACTCAGTCCATTGAGGGGCGTACTCGGGACACCGTAGAGCGCCTCAACCTGCTTGGGAGCCATAGTACGCCGCTGCGCACGCCAGAGCGCCCCTCGGATATGGACGATCTTCCACTTCGACGCGCCCGTCGCCTTTATCGCCAGATGGAGGCCCCGGCGGGCGCGTCGGCCCAAGATGCCTGTTCAGAGCTTTTGGGCCGCCCGCGTCTGCACTACGACACGTCAAATGATTTGCCGCTGAGGCCGCATGCACCGCGCCTCGCGAGCTGGCCCGACCTTGGGAACGAGCTTGGCTGGCTTTCTGACCGACTCGGGCCTGGCGATCGTCGCCCATTCCTCGGCCTCAGCCACGCCTTGCTGATGCCGCCGCCGAGCTTCGACGCAGTCGTGGAGGAGGGCGGGGGGCCTTCGCTCGAGAGGAATCGCGCGATGTACGTGGAGTTTGCGAAGTCAGGGGTCTCCAGAGGCGACCTCGCGGCTGGCGAGGCCAGGATCGAGGACGTCGGGGTGTTCTTCGCGGCCAAGAGGGATGCCCGCATCAGGATGGTGCTCGGCTGTCTGAGGAGCAATCAACGTTTTCAGCCTCCTCCGCCAGTCAACCTCTTCTCCGCCGCGGGCTTTTGCGGACTTGGAGGTGCCCGAGGGGGCCCTGCTGTACTTTGCGGGGGGCTGACGTCCAGAATGCTAGCTACCAGTGCAAGCTGCCCGCCGACCTGCGGCCGCACTGCTGCCCGCCCGCGGTCGCCGCCGGCGAGCTGGGCATGGGCAGGCTGGGCGGGCGCCGCGCGCCGCCGCGGGCGCGCCTGCACCCGCAGCTGGCGGTCGCGCCGACGGGCTGGAGTTGGGCGCTCTACTTCGCCCATAAGGCCCGCGAGCGCGCGCTGGACGGCTGCGACGCCCTCAGGCCCGAGCAGCGCGCGGTCGACATCGCGCCGCCGCCGTCGCCGCTCGACGAGCCGACCCGCCCCCTCCACGTCGACGACGCGCTCGTCGCAGGCTCCGACCGCGAGAAGGTGACGCGCGTCAGGCGGTTGGCTTCGGAGGCGCTGAAGGCGGCTGGGCTCGCCGCCCATGACGAGACCGACGCCTCGTTGCCCATGGCGATGCTGGGCGGGCAGCTGGAGGGGCGGCCCGCGCGCGCCACGCTGGCTTCGAAGCGCTTCTGGAAGCTCTACCTGGGTCTCGGCTACTCTGCGCTGCGCCGCCCCAGGGTGGCCAGCCGCGACGTCGAGCACGCCCTCGGCCACTGCGCCTTCGCGGCCCTCTGCCGCCGCGAGAGCCTCAACGCTTCAGCGCCGTGTGCGCGTTCGCGCAGCAGGGCCACCGGCGCGCTCGGCCTTTTTTGGCGCCCGCGCGGAAGGAGCTCAGGATCTTCCGCGGATTGCTGATCACACTGCGCGCCCAGCTCGATGCACCTTGGTAGCCGCAGGTCGCGGCGCCCGATGCTTGCGAGACGGGTCGCGCGCCGATGGTCGCCGACTGGAAGGCAGAGGACGTGAGTGCCGTTGGCCGCTAGCACGAGAGGTGGCGCTTCCGCCGCACCCGCGAGGAGGACGGCAGCTGGCGGCCACGAGACCGCGCGGCCCGCGCTGCCGAGGCCGCGCTTCTAGACGGCGAGCCGCCGTTTGCAAGGGGTGAATCAGATAAAAATTGTCCTGAAGTGTCTGCGCGCGTCCTCCGCCGCACCAGCTGGGAGCCGCTGCGCTGCGCGCCCATTCAGGAAAGAGCCCATGCATCGAAAAGAGGCAAGAGGAGATCTGCACGCCGTCAAGTTGATCCTTTCGGAGGCGGATTCGCGGGGGAAGAGACATGTGGTATTGGGAGAGGTTCTGGCGCTTACACTTGCATTTTCTAAAGATCGTCGCAGCGACATTTACTTGCCCAATATTCTTCGTCGAGGGGCCGCCCTCACCGTGGCCGCGGGCACCCAGATTTATAGGCGATGGGTGCCGAGCGAGCTGAACGGTGCCGATGGCGCCAGCCGTGCCCGCGAGCGCGCTGACGGACGCCGTGCAGCCGCTGCGGACTGGCGAGAGCGCGCTGCGCAGGGCCGACAGCTGCGGCTCCCTATGGGGCCACGAAACGTATGAGGGGTGTGCCAAATTGAGTGTGGGGGACGCATGTGGGCGGCGCCACTGAGGCCTTCGGTGGAGCTCCTTGCGGGGCCGCGAAGCGCGCGAGGGGCGCGCCCAATTGGGCGTGGGGGGCGCGCGCGGGCGGCGGAGAGGAGGAGGGGGAGGAGGAGGAGAAGTGGACAAGATGGCAGGGACGCGGGGACCGTCTATTCAACACGAGGACCCAATTATCCTGGCGAAGGACCCAGCCATATGAAGTTGTGGGTACCGCAGTTGTGAATCTTCTTCGGTGAAGCTCCCTATGGGGCCACGAAGCGCTGCGCTGGGCAGGGGGGGAACGCATGCGGGCGGTAGCACTGGGGCCGTCGGCGCAGCTTCCTATGAGGCCACGAAGCGCTGCACTGGGTGAGTGAAAATACAAAATTAGGCGTGTGGGACGCATGCGGGTGGTCCAATTGGGGGCTTCGGTGGAGCTCCCCATGGGGCCGCAATGCGTTGCGACGGGTGGGTGGAACTGCAAATTTGGGCGTGGGGGGCGCACGCGGGCGGCCCCACTGGGGGCTTCGGCGGGGCTCCGTATTGAGGCACGAAGCGTTGTACTGGGTCTGTGAAAGTGCCAAGTTGGGCGTGGGGGACGCATGTGGGCGGTCCCACTAGAGGTTTCGGTGGAGTTCCCTATGGGGGACGCATGCGGGCGGTCCCACTGGGGGCTTCGGTGGGGGTCCCTATGGGGCCACGAAACGCTGTACTAGGTGAGTGAAAATGCCAAATTGGGCGTGGGGAGCGCGCGCGGGCGGTCACATTGGGGGCTTCGGTGGAGTTCCCGATACGGCCACGGAGCGTTGTACTGGGTGGGTGACAATGCCCAATCGGGTGTGGGTGACGCATGCGGACGGTCCTACTGGGGGTTTCGGTGGGGCTCCCTATAGGGCCACGAAACGCTGTACTGGGTGACAATGCCAAGTTGCTTGTGGGGGACGCACGCGGGCGGTCCCACTGGGGGCTTCGGTGGGGCCCCCCATTGCGCCACGAAGCGCTGTACTGGGTGGGTGAAAATGCCAAATTTGATTTGGGGGACGCATGTGGGCGGTACCAGTGGGGGCTTCGGTGGAGCTCCCTATGGGGTCACGAAGCGTTGTGCCGGGTGGGTGAATATGCCAAATTGGGCGTGGGGGGCGCACGCGGGCGGTCCCATTTGGGGGTTCGGTGGAGCTCCGTATGGGGCCACGAAACGCTGTACTGGGTGGGTGGCAATGCCAAATTGGGTGTGGGGGGGGGGGGCGCAAGCGGGCGGTCCCACTGGGGGCTTCGGTGGAGCCCCCGATAGGGCCACGAAGCGCTGAATTGGGTGGGTGACAATGCCAAGTTGGGTGTGGGGGACGCATGCGGGCGGTCCCACTGGGGGCTTCGGTGGGGCTCCGTATTGAGCCACGAAACGCTGTACTGGGTTTGGTGAAAATGCCAAATTGGATTTGGGGGACGCATGTGGGCGGTACCACTGGGAGCTTCGGTGGACCTCCCTATGGGGTCACGAAGCGCTGTACTGGGCGAGTGAAAATGCAGAATTGGGCGTGGGGGGCGCACGCGGGCGTTTGGGCGAAAATGCCAAATTTGGTGCGGGGGACGCATGCGGACGGTCCCACTGGAGGTTTCGGTGGAGCTCCCTATGGGGCCACGATGCGCTGTGCTGGGTGGGTGACAATGCCAGGTTGGGTGTGTGGGACGCATGCGGGCGGTCCCACTGGGGGCTTCTGTGGGGTTACGTATTGAGCCACGAAGCGCTGCATTGGGTGTGTGAAAATGCCAAATTTGATTTGGGGGACGCATGTGGGCGGTACCAGTGGGGGCTTCGGTGGAGCTCCCTATGGGGTCACGAAGCGCTGTAATGGGTGGGTGTAAATGCCAAATTGGGCGTGGGGGACGCATGCTGGCGGTCCTACTGGGGGCTTCGGTGGAGCTCCGTATGGGGCCACGAAACGCTGTACTGGGTGGGTGAAAATGCCAAATTTGGTGCGGGGGACGCATGCGGACGGTCCCACTGGAGGTTTCGGTGGAGCTCCCTATGGGGCCACGATGCGCTGTGCTGGGTGGGTGACAATGCCAGGTTGGGTGTGTGGGACGCATGCGGGCGGTCCCACTGGGGGCTTCTGTGGGGTTACGTATTGAGCCACGAAGCGCTGCATTGGGTGTGTGAAAATGCCAAATTTGATTTGGGGGACGCATGTGGGCGGTACCAGTGGGGGCTTCGGTGGAGCTCCCTATGGGGTCACGAAGCGCTGTAATGGGTGGGTGTAAATGCCAAATTGGGCGTGGGGGACGCACGCGGGCGGTCCCACTGGGGGCTTTGGTGGAGCTCCTTATTGGGCCGCGAAACGCCGTATTGGGTATGTGAAAATGCCAAGTTGGTTGTGGGGGACGCATGCTGGCGGTCCTACTGGGGGCTTCGGTGGAGCTCCGTATGGGGCCACGAAACGCTGTACTGGGTGGGTGAAAATGCCAAATTGGTTGTGGGGGACGCATGTGGGCGGTACCACTGAGGGCTTCGCGGGGGCTCCCTATGGGGCCACGAAATGTTGTGTTGGGTGGGTGAAACGCATGGAACAAGGAGGAGGGAGGGGAGGAGGGGGAGGAGGAAGGGAAGAGGACTGAGGACAGGAACGCAGGGACCGTCTCTTCAAAACGAAGACCCAACACCGCAGGATGGTTGGGAACAACACAGGTTGGTTTGGAAATATTACACCAGACAAAAACCCAAATCAGTGGATGGTTTGATCGATTAAGTGGGATGAATCATGAGATCGATCATGAGATCGATGATGAATCGTGGAATCGATGAAGAGATCTATAAGGAGATCGACCGGGAACCATGGAACCGGGAACCCACCGAAATCGGTTCCGCGGAACCAATCACCAGAACCCGGGAACCCGGGAACCCAGCCAGCTACCAAAATCGGCGGGGAATTTTCGCCGCTTGGACCCGTGCAGTGCAAGCATTGATTGAGGAAAAGTATTCACCAGACAATAACCCCAATCAGTGGATGGTTTTCGCTGAGGAGATCGACCGGGAACCCGGGAACCCGGGAACCCAGAGCCCACCGAAATCGGCCCAGAACCAATAACCGGGAACCCGGGAATTTGGAACCGGGAGCCCGGGACCCCAGCTTGCTACCAAAATCGGCGGGAAATGTTCACCAAATCTTTAAATTTCCGCTATGACCCCTTCAGTGCAAGCGCTGATTGGGGAACAATGGTCACCGGAGGGGGGATCACCAATCAATATTCTTCCGTACTGAAAGTTCAACCACGGCTTCCGCCTTATTGTTTCTCGCGATGTATTATAGATTATAGAATCAAGCTCTCGCGCAAGACTTCCTCACAATCAATGCAGGAATCGCGCTCTCGTGTAGGACCCCCTCGCAATGTGTTCAGACGCCGCGCCTGCGACACTCAGGAATAACGCTCTCTATCTATCTATCTATCTATCTATCTATCTATCTATCTATCTATCTATCTATCTATCTATCTATCTATATATATATATATACACATATATATATATATATATATATATGTATGTATGTATGGCTTTTCTCACGATGTACGATGGAATCGCCCTATCGCTCGAGATTTCCTCGCGTTTCATGCAGGACCCACGCTTCAGCAAGCCGCCTTCTCGACCTGGCCGCCTGGGCCCGCCTTCCCGACCCGCTCAGTAAGGTCAGCCCGCCCGATCTGCCCGTCTGGCTCTGCCACGTGTTTGTTGTTCCTGGCACCCCTCCTGCTAATTTCTCACGTGCTCCATTCTTATCCCGTCCCCTGCCATCCGTCCTCGATGTGGAGCTCGATTGTTTCCAACGCCGACGAGCCGATGCACCGCCGACGTCGCCGATGCCCCCATCGAATTGTTCGGACACCATGTGGGAAGCGTGCACTGGGATCAGAAAAGCGGTCAAGTCAACGCCGGGCTCCAAGGAAGCTGTTGGTGTGCCGCCAGAGCCGCCCGAGCACCGACCTGACCAATCAGCCGTGGAACTGCCGCCTCGGGGCCGCAGTGAGTCAGGTCAGTGTATATTCGGGTCACCCCAGGCATGGGACTCGGCCAGCCGCAACGCTGACCAGACCCCTGTCTGATCCCGAACCGCAGTGGCGCCGCCGGGACCTGCAACGCCACGCGGTTCCAAGCGGCGCCACGCAGCGCCAGCCCGCGCCACGCAGAGGCCGGGCGGTGCCAAGCAGCGCGCCCGTGCAGCAGGAAGTTTCCCCTCGGTGGGATCGCGCTCGGGCTCCCTCGATCCCAAGGAGGAGGAGGAGGAGGAGGAGGAGGAGGAGGAGGAGGAGGAGGAAGAGGAAGAGGAGGAAGAAGGGGAGGAAGGAGGGGAGGAAGGAGGGAGGAGGTGGAGGAGGAGGAGAGAGGAGGAGGAGGACCGCGCCGAGGCCCCAACGGCCACCGCTTCTGCGGCGGCTGCGAGCACGGCCCCCACCCGGGCGTGTCGTGCGAGGCCCCCGCGGGGGGGAGCGGTCGCCGTGCGCGGGGGGGCCACCGCCAGCGGAGGGCAGCTGTACACCACCACCGCGGCTGGCGAAGGCTGTCCTGGTCGGGGGCCCCCAGACGGGGCGGTGACCACACCGTGCGGCGAGTCGGTGGTGATTCGGGGTCACCGCACGGTTCTGGGACTCGGGTCGTTCTCCGAGGACGTCTCGGGCGACAGGGGCCTCCGGGGTCCCCAAACCGTGCGGTGACGGACTGTGCGGTGAGGTCTCTTGGGGTTCCGAGGTCGCCGCACGGCCTGTCACCGCACCGTTTCGGGACTCCAAACCTGGGCCCCATGGATCCCATCGGTGCTGTCTGGGCCCTCCTTGCCCCGGCCAGGAGGCGTACGCACCGTGCGTCGGCCCAGGGCGGCCCTGATCAGACATGGCGGTGGTGTGTGTGGGGGGGGGGGGCCTTCTGCGTAGCCGCCTCCTGGCAGGGGCAGCGTGCGGGGGATCGGCTCAGGGTGGGAACGGCCGCTGGGGGCTTGAGCTTCGGCCCAGAAGCCACAGGGGATCGAGATGGGCGCAGGGGAGGGTGCATCGGCCTCCGATCGCCCACTCATCGCCCATGGGGGGCCCACGCAGCCCACCCCGACCTGGAACGTGCGGCTTCGCTGTCGGGGGCTTGTCGCCGGCTTGTAGGCGCTGTGTTGCCGATTCCAGTCCGATGGCCCCCCCTCATCTCGGGGATCTACTGACCCGGGTCAATCCAAACCCGGGCCAGTCAGGCCGTGCAGGATCTTGCAGGATCCCGCGCCCAAACTTGGGTCAGTGCACTCTTGGCAGTGCAGGATCTTGCAAAATCCGGCGCTCTGGCTGACCCCTGTTCACGTTGACCCCCGTCCCAAGGCTCCCGATCATCCTGGGAATCGAGGAGCAGGGAGGATCGAGGATCGAGGAGGTGGGCCTAGGGGATCGAGGAGCAGGGAGGATCCAGAAGGATCGAGGAGGAGGGAGGATCGAGGATCGGGAAGGAGGGAGGATCGAGGATCGAGGATCAAGGAGGAGGAGGAGGAGGAGGAGGAGGAGTTGGAGGAGGAGGAGGAGGAACGAGGAGGATCGAGGCTCGAGGATCGAGGAGGTGGCCATGGGGGATCGCGGGGCGTCCAGAGGTCCCAGGCCCAGGCACCCGCCGACATGTATGATGTTTGGTTCGACCCGCGGCCCCGCAAAAGGTCCGACCGCTCCCCCCAGGCCCCATCGTGCGGACCATGTATTAAACATGCAGGGATTTAGTATTAAAAGCAGCGAGGAGTTCATGCGTAAATTTAGTCATACATAGTTTAACCCATCCATGCAGGGATTTAGTCATCATGCAGGGATTTAGTTCATGCATTAAAAAGCCCTACATAATTTAACCATCCCATGTACTAAAAAAAACTGCCCGGTAGTCCCAGGCATCCTCCGATGTATGTTTTGCAATCCGCGGCCCGAGAGGGAGTTGTCAACCGCTTCCCCGAGAGTCGACTTGTTCGGCCCCGATCTCTCGTCGATGGCCCGCGGGCACGAGGACTGCCTCCCGAGGCCGAAGTCTCTGAAAAGGCGCCAGTTGAAATCGAGGCACCGGTCTGGGGTGGTGACACCTCACCCTTTCTTGGCCCCGCTGGGGCTTGAGCGCGGTCCCGAGGGTTGCCGGGGTCGAGCTGGCTCCCAGGCGTCGGGGGTGCCCCATCGTGTCGGGCTCGTCTGATCCTCGCGCCTCGGTGCTTTTCGGCATGCGGGGAGCCCCCTCATCGCCGCCGCGGCCGGACGCGGCCCACAGAGATTCAGAGGCGAAAAGAATACCGATGCCGCTGCTCGTCTGGGAGAGCCCTTCGCCGCCACTGCTGGACGCGGCTCGGAGAAACTCGGAGGAGCAGATGATGCCGGCACCGCTGTAGCGCTGTTCGTCCTGGAGGGCCCTCGTCGCCACTGCTGGATTCTCTCTCAGGGGTCGACGGCGGGCGAGGGGGGGAAACGATAAGGAGACGGCCTTCTCAGAAGGCGGCGGGGCTTCTGAGCAGACCTCGCGCCGTCTGAGAAGTTCTTCCGTGTCTTCGGGGAAGACTTCGAACGCTGCTCTTCCGAGCCTTCTGAGAAGGCCCGCCCCGTCTCGCTTCCCCCCCCGCGCTCGCCGCGAGAGGGGTTGTTCCAGAGCGCTCCCCAAGGGTCCGGAGGAGGAGGAGGAGGAGGAGGAGGAGGAGGAGGAGGAGGAGGAGGAGGAGGAGGAGGAGGAGGAGGAGGAGGAGGAGGAGGAGGAGGAGGAGGAGGAGGGGAGGAGGAGGAGGTGAGGAGGAGGGGAGGTGAGGAGGAGGGAGGAGGAGGAGGAGGAGGAGGAGGAGGAAGAGGAGGAAGAGGAGGAGGAGGAGGAGGAGGAGGAGGGGGGGGGGCTCCAGAGCGCTCCCCGGGAGAGGCCGCGGGGAGAAGCGGCAGCATGCCCTCGGTGCCTCCCCATGGGAGGGGCCAGGGCGGGACCCCCTGGGGACGGGGCACCGGGGGGGGCAGGTGGGGAGAGGAGTCGGAGCGAGGCCTAAGTCGGGCGTGCCCCTCTGCAGGAAGGATCCTCCAAAGTAGAGAAAATAGTCCGGGGACAACTTTTCTCATATTTTCTACTATCTTGAAGTCTTTTTAGATTTTTCATGTTTCGCCCAAGCTCCGCCTATTTCGTACTACTTGGAAGTATTTCAGATTTTCCATGTTTCGCCCAAACTCCGCCTATTTCGTATCATTTCGAAGTATCTCAGAATTTGCCATGTTTCTCCCAAGCTCCGCCTGTGGGGGGACATGCCCGACCTAAGGCGAGGCTCTTTTCTCGGGTGCTGCCAGAAGTGCCCCTGGCCCTAGATGCCCCCAGGAGTTCCAAGGAGGCCACCAGGGCCTCCAGAGCACCCCATCACGAGGCCGAGAGGGCCCCAGGAGCTCCAAGGTGGAGCGAAAAGCCAAGGGTCACCTTGGGCCAGGGGCACCTTTGGCAACCCCCGACTTTGGGATCAGCTGTCCAGGAGTTCAGGTTCGAAGGCCACGTGTCACATCGCAGGTCTGGAGCCCGCATGCTCCGGCTTCGCCCCCCCCCCCCCAACAAAAAAAACGAAATGTTATCATGGCAAAGGAGCCAACCGTATGCATTGGTGAGTAACGCAATTGTTGAAATCGTCTTCGGTGGAGCTCCGTGTGGGACACGAAACGAGTGAGGGGTGTGCCGAAATTAGCGCGGTGGTGCCATGCGAGCGCAGCCACTGGGACCTTCGGTGGAGCTCCTTGTGGGGCCACGAAGCGTGTGAGGGGTGTGCCGAAATTGGTGCGGTGTTGTCATGCGAGCGCAGCCACTGGGGCCTTCGGTGGAGCTCCCTATGGGGGGGTACCGAAATGGGTGCGGTGGTGTCATGCGAGCGCAGCCACTGGGGCCTTCGGTGCAGCTCCCTATAGGGCCACGAAAACGTGTGAGGGGTGTTCCGAAATGCGGGCGGTGCTGTCATGCGAACGCAGCCACTGGGGCCTTCGGTGGAGCTCCATATGGGGCCACGAAGCGTGTGAGCCGTGTGCCGAAATTGGTGCGGCGATACCGTGCGAGCGCAGCCACTGGGGTTCTCGGTGAAGCCCCCTATGGAGCCACGAAGCGTGTGAGGGGTGTGCTGACATTGGTGCGGTTGTGTTATGCGAGCGCAGCCACTGGAGCCTGCGGCGGAGTCCCCTTATGGAGCCACGAAGCGTGTGAGGGGTGTGCCGAAATTGGTGCGGTGTTGTCATGCGAGCGCAGCCACTGGGGCCTGCGGTGGCGTGTGAGGGGTGTGCCGAAAGGGGTGAGGTGGAGTCATGCGAGCGCAGCCACTGGGGCCTGCGGAGGAGCCCCCTACTGAACCACGAAACGTGTGAGGGGTGTGCCGGCATGGGCGCGGTGGTGTCCTGCGAGCGCAGCCACTAGGGCCTGCGGGGGTGTGCGTCGAGATGGGCGCGGTTGTGTCATGCGAGCGCAGCCATTGGGGCCTTCGGTGGAGCCCTCTGTGGAGCCACGAAACGTGTGAGGGGTGTGCCGGAATGGGCGCGGTGGTGCCATTCGAGCGCGGCAACTGGGGCCTGCGGCGGAGTCCCCTTATGGAGCCACGAAACGTGAGAGGGGTGTGCCGAAATGGGCGCGGTTTTGTCATGCGAGCGCAGCCACTGGGGCCCTCTGTGGAGCTCCTTGTGGGGCCACGAAACGTGTAAGGGGCGTGATGAGATTGGTGCGGTGGTGTCATGCGAGCGCAGCCACTGGGGCCTTCGGTGGAGCTCCTTTTGGGGCCACGGGATGGGCGCGGCGGAGACATGCGAGCGCAGCCACTGGGGCCTTCTTGGAGCTTCCCATGAGGCCACGAAACGTGTGAGGGGCGTGCTGAAATGGGTGCGGCGGTGTCATGCGAGCGCAGCCACTGGGGCCTTCGTTGGAGCTCCCTATGAGGCCACGAAGTGTGTGAGGTGTGCCGAAACAGAAACATGCGGAGGGCAGAGGCAACGAGGGGGAGGAGGGAGGAGGAAGCAGGCGGAGGAGGAGGAGGGAGACGCGGGGCGCTGTCTTTTCAAAACGAGGACCCAAGACCACAGCATGGTTGGGAGAAAAGGATGGCCGTCAAAGAAAGACGTGGAACTTGCACCCATCTCGAGGATGGTATCCGAGTTGGGAAGTCCTACGAAGTCGAGGATTGGGGTCGCTATACCTCTTGTCACGAGAAGGGGCCGGGAAGAACGGGGGCGGAGGCAGGCGGCAGTCCTTGTCCGTTCTGACCAGGGTTTTTTGGAATAACAGTTGTTGTTGGGCGATGTTCACACTTGATTATTGGCCTCATTTCAGGCGTAAGGATGTGCGATGTTGTTTGCATGTGTCGTGGGGGGCTCGGGGGGCCGTTCCAGGGCGTGAGACTTGCAGATGGATCGGGCACGCCGAAGGATGCCCAGTCCCCTTCATTCAGCGGAGGGGCCCGTAAAGAGACCCGATTTGGAGGCCGAAAGGTAAGATATGTCCAACATGTTCG